TCTCTAGGTCGCCGCCAGCGAATCGCCACCGCGCCCCCCCGCCTCTGCGCAGAGGCATGGGCACCTGCGCTGGGCAGTCGAGCTCAGCAGGAATATCGAACGGCGCCCTGGATCGGCTCCTGGATGACGGGCCTACCTTCCACCACCACCACCACCACCACCAGAAGTTGGAGGGGGGAAGGAGGTGGAGGAAGAAGAGGAGGAAGAAGAGGATGAAGAAGAGGAGGAAGAAGAGGAGGAAGAAGAGGAGGAAGAGGAGGAAGAAGAGGAGGAGGAAGAGGAGGAAGAAGAGGAAGAAGAGGAGGAAGAAGAGAATGGCGGTGGCAAACAAGCCCGCCTCTGGAGGCGCCTCCTCCTCCTCCTCCTCCTCCTCCTCCTCCTCCTCCTCCTCCTCCTCCTCCTCCTCCTCCTCCTTGCCTTGCATCGCCCCTCGGGCGGCCGCGGGCCCTCGGGGGAGCCTCCCGGCGCCCTCAGGCGCCCTGCTGCGGCACCTGGTGAGTGCGGGCCGCCCCGGGGCGCTCCCCTCTTGGGGAGCCTGGGACAACCCCTGTGAAGGGGCCCTGGGACACACAGATAAATACACACAGATAACAGGACTCCCCATAGTTTCCCATATGTTCTGAGATTTTTTGCCTTCCCCCCCGCTTCCCATATTTTCCCATCTTCTCCTGGGGATCGACGATTCATTGTGTCTGTGTGCTTTTTCCCCTCCTCACCCTGGGCCCGCGGGAGTCCTCGTGAGGCCATCCTTGGAGTCGGCGCCGTTCGGCAGCGCGCCCCGAGGGGACGGCGGCGTGGGCGGTCATTCTCAGAAGGCTCGAGGGGCATATGATCTTCGGGGAAGCCTTCTCGGGGAAACCAGCAGGTACCGATACCCCGACTCCCCGGACCGCTCTCCCGGGGCGCGCTCTGACCAGGACTTCGAGGCGAGTCCAGCGGTGGCGACGGGGGCCTGCGAGGAGGCCCCCCAAAAAGGAAAAGCGAGGCAAGGGCAGAGGTGTGGGTAACTGCAGGTCCGTGCCGTGTCGACCCTGGCGTTGGTTCCTGACACCGCGCTGGAACGTTGAACGTCGGCGGCGGGGTCGCCGCCAGTCGACACGACGCGAACCTACCGTGACTGCTTTTGCCCTCCTCTGATGTCTGAGCCCTCCCCGAATCCCCCAAGGAGGGCCTCTCGGAAGGCGGGAGGGGGCGCCCGAAACGGGAAAGCGAGGCAAGGGCAGAGGTGTGGGTGACTGCTTTTGTCCTCCTCTGATTCCTGGGCCCTCCCCGAAGATCCCCCGGGAGGGCCTCTCGGAAGGCGGGAGGGCGCCCAGGAAGCCCCCCCCCCCCCAGGCCTCCGGAGGAGGACTGCCCCCTCGCGCTCCCAGTCGTGGGTCGGGCATGTCCCCTCTACAGGCGGCTTCTCGGGGCGAAAAATGGAAAAAATACTCCCAAAAGGCTCAAACATAGTCAAAGAATACTCCACAGACTATCTTTAAACTACAAAGAAAACGTATAGTAAGGACGCGTGGTAAAGACTATCTTTAAACTGCAATGAAAACGTATAGTAAGGACGCGTGGCAAGGACGCAAGACCCTTGGCGGCCGAAGTTGAAGTACTCTGGGCGGCAGGCGGCCAAACCCCCAGGGAACCTGAGAAACTGGCCTGCGAAAACTGCTAGGGACGGGCCGCAGAGGCTGAGGCAGGCAAGGACCCAAGGGCACCCTTGAAACAATCGTTTGTCCTTACCATGCGCGATGGCTGCACTTTACAATATATTCCTGTAGAGGGACAGGCCCGACTCACTTCCAGCCCTCGGCGCGCCACCGCTTCGCAGCTCCGCCTCGGCCAGGGCCTTCGGGGGGGGGGGAGGCTCCGGGAGGGGAGGCCGCCAGCTCTCGTGGGCGCTCGTGCGGGCGTCCTCGCAAGTCTTGTTGGCTTGAGAAGCAGGAACGACGAGAGCCGCTGCCCCTCGAGGGGGCTATCCTGCACCACGGACAAGGACGACGGCGCACCAGGCTTCGGGGATCTTCTGACCCGGGTCAATCCAGACCCGGGCCAGCAGGAAACCAAAAAACTGCAACCCAGGAAAAAAAAAGGGGGCTATCCTGCACCACGGACAAGGACGACGGCGCACCAGGCTTCGGGGATCTTCTGACCCGGGTCAATCCAGACCCGGGCCAGCAACCAAAAAACTGCAACCCAGGAAAAAAAAAAAAAAAGAAGCTGCAACGCAGGTGTTCGCAAACCCGGGTCAGCCAATGTGCAAGGCCGCCCCGCGGCCACGAGCGCCTCGCAAAACCGGGTCGGCCAGAGGGGGTCTTCGCAGGATCCTGCAGGATCTGGCGCCCTGGCTGAACCCGTCTGCATTGACCCCCGTCTCAATCGGGAGCGGCCAAGAGGGGGGTGTCCAAGAGGGGGGGGTGCAAATCATGACCGGCGGCATGTGCGCGGCCCAGCGGGGGGGCCAGGGACGCAAGGGAAGAAGAAGAGGCGCCATGAGATCTGGGGAGATCTCATGGCCCCCGCCATGATATCCACCCCCCCTAGTCATCACCCCCCTCTTTGCATTGACCCCCGTCTCAAGGCTCCCGGAGGCCCGTGCAGAACCGTCGCCGGGACCGCACGGCAACCCCGCTCCACAGGCCGTCCCGCGGACGCGGCGCCGAAGCGCCGCCGAGCGGGGGGGCGACCGCGGGGCGAAGGCACCCAAAAACCTGCAAAAAACAGTGGGTTCCCAAAGGAACCCACTGTTTTGTTGCAGGTTTTCCTAAGGAACCCAAAAGAAGGAACGGGGCCCCTTTCTCCATTAAGTTGCACTTCGATTTCCTATGGAGAACCTCCGGAAGACAGAAGGCAAACTGCAGCCCAATCAAGGAACACCGAGCCCCTCCCCAACGAAAAGGGTTCCTTCTTCAGGGCCCCGACTGTGTCTCAGAATGGCGCTGTCGCTCGAGAGGCCCTCGCGAGGTCGTGCAGGACGCACGCCCTGGTGGCCCGCCTGCCCGTGGTGTTGCAAGGGGGGGGGATCGCGAGGTGTCGGAGGCTCCCATTTCGGCCACTGGGAGGGCCCTGTTTCGCCACCCCTCACGGGGATCGTGG